CACGGGATAATCTGAGCAAACACCAACATGTGCTGGCACAGGTCTCCCGGTAAGTTTCCATTTTATGCTTTGAATTGATGACGGTGGTCGTACCTGTTACTTGTTACAGCCAATAGTTATAGAAACGTCATTAACAAGATGCTTTCTATGACTCCTCTGAAAAACCACAAGATTTCTTTACAGTCGTAAAAATGTGGCAAAAAGAAAACAAAATGAAACCTGTGAGATTAACCTTGTCTGAAAAGCACCAGTATTTAGGAGGGTTTAAAGCATCATTTTTCATCAACATTTCTTTAAAGTGAGCCTGCAGGGAGCACCAAACCCACCCTGCACTGGTTAAAGGCAAAGTGAAAACTTTTAATAATTTTTACATTTGGGTGTCATTTTATTCAATCCACGTAAAATATTATTCAATACTGAAGATTAAGTTTAGATTTTTAAAGCAAAATAAACTCTTGCAATAGTTAAATATGTCAGCAGGTGCTTTGGGTCAAAGTGTGATTTTATAAAATAAATTTCAGGATTTATTAAAATATTGAAATAAAAAGCTCGTAAACTGGACAGCTCAGAAAAATACATTTTCTATTATGCAATTTGCATCATCTGTGCATAATCTCAGCTCCCTCCCACCCATCTGTTCCAGATAATTCTTCGTACAATGCTTATTATCCTCCGACATTGCTTTGTTTTCCCCTCGTTATGCTTTATATAACATGGTGAGGATCGGCTGTGTGGTCATGACATTTTTCATTATGCTAAGCTCTGTGCATACTGCAAATGGGAGCAGGATTTAAAGTCAGGAAGTAATTAGAGCTTTTATTGAAACTATAAATTGGTGAGTTTTTGGATGCGTTTTTGCCCACTTACGTCAGAGCGGTCCTAAGACCTAATGCTGCTTTTCCACCAACTATTTAGAACCACCTCCATTCACTTCTATCTGAAACGCAACAAAACACTGACATTAAAGACCTGAGATAAAATCTGGAACCGCCGCTGACGGCGACCAATATCGGCATCAAAAGTACAATTGCATAGATGCTATAAACATTAAAATAATAAAGAACAGCCACTGATATCAGCGTTTACATTTTTAGTTGTTATAGATCAAAGTAAAGCAGATGTGTTATTCCCTTCTGTAATCCTTAAAGGGACAACAGTGGCTGTGCAGTTTGACCATGTGTTTAACTGCTAATTGTACATAAATAAAATGTGCATGGGTAGGTGTATGAGAGTCAGGCCTCCTAATTCATAAATTCTTAACTTGGATCACGTATGTGGTAATTCTCTGGTATTTGTCCGGCATATTATTATTGTTTTCATTTTTTTTTTTTTTTAAATTTAGTGCACACATTTTTTTGTTTTTAGCCTCAAACCTAGTTGAGACATAAATGGGGGCTCATCCGGGATCTTTGGGACTCTTCTGAGGGGACTGAACATCAGGTTTCTTTCTCCTATAAGGTGCATCAAGCTGACTGTGTCTTCCCTGTGAGCAAATTCAAGCATTTCAGCTCTTTAGATGTGCTGCCTCCACTAAAACATTTACTTACTTTGTTTACTTATTACTTAACGCCGTCTCGAGCCTCGGATGCCTGTTTTTGTGGAATAAATAATGGTTGCTACTTATGTTCTAAGGAGTAACTGGATTAAGAGCTTGAGAATCACTTCTCAAATCTGGTTAAAAGTGCTTTGCTTCTTAAAGGGAACAAAAGTGCTGATCGGTGGAAAAAAAGGAAATGGGTTAAAAAAAATATGGGTGGAAAGGAGCCAAAATTAACAGTAAAATGTGAAAGCTTCTGTTGTGCGACATAACTAGGATGGTGACTTATTTAAATGTTATGAATCATGACCAAATGGCTCACTCTGAGCCAAGAGAAAGCTTATTATTGATGAAGTCTTCTTATATTAGCTCTTAGATGGGAAAAAAGCACAGAAATACCTCACCCTGTCATCTCAAATTAGTCCTTTCAGTGTCTCACTGTGTTCCCATCTTCCTTTTTTACCAGCTCGGTTTTACATCGCAAGCATCAGACAGCTGCAGTAATTGAGGATGCACTTCATTCCTGCAGACTCCATCTTCTCACAATGGTGATTGCAATCTACAACATCTCCTCCACCTCAGCCAGGGTGAGCTGGCCATCTTCCCCCACCTGCATTGACACCTTCTACAGCGTCATGTACGACCCCAACTGGAACAGCCTGTTCATGGGCTACAAGCGCAAAAGCTTCATGCATGAGGATCGTATCCCTGTCAGTCAGACCAGCACACACCTGGCCAATCTCCTCCCTCAGACTGCCTACTTCTTGTGTGTGACGTGTCAGGCTGCCAATCCGGTGCGGGAACAATGCCAAGTGTTCAGCACTCTGAGCGACAGCAGCGAAGGTCACGACAGAGCCGGCTGGGAGCTGGCAATGGCCGTATGGCTCATCTGCTGCATCTTGCTCCTCGTCATCGCCAGCATCCTGTTGTGGAGCTGTCTTAACAACATCTGTATCCTCCCCGGCCAGGCCGCAGCCAGACACCCGGTGGTGACCAACTCAACCTGTCAAGACATGTCCACATCTGGAGCCCTCTACACTCCGAGAAGCAGCAGCCAGGACAGCATCAAACTCTCCAACATCATGCAACCACCCCACCTCTCGGCGCAGCCTACGGGTCACATAATTACCCAAGACCATGAGTTGAGGGCGCTGGCTAAGCTGTCTGGCAGCGAGCCAACATGAATCAACTGGATTAAGGTCATCACAGCATTGTTCAGATTCAATTGTCACCGAGTATTTTCATCCACTCACAAAATCCTATTTGTGTGTTTTTCCTCAGAGGAAACATTTCCAACATATTACAGCACCGTTTCAACACACACGCACACCATTTTAAATAAAAAGATTTATGCTTTTAAGACCTAAAAAAAAAATTACAATAGCAAAAATTAAATATCATTAATATGGCACTCATCTTTCTTTTGGCACTGACAAACAATTATCCATGTAGAAAAAAAAAAGTCATTTAACGCGTCCCTTGCGTGTTTATAGAACAGACTCAGACAGAAACAAATGTTGTCTGTTTAATCAAAGCTTCACTATCCGCAAAAACATTAAAAATAAATAAAATTGTTTTACTCATAACTCTGTAGATCATTCTTTTATATTCATGTCATTTATTTATGTCCATAAATAAACCAAAAATATATTTTTTAAATTTATTTTTTAACCTCTCCTACAGTGAAATTACAAAACCCTCTCAAGCCATATTTGTTCTCCCAAAGTAAAAACAACAACTATTTTTGGACATGTCTGGGAGTGATTTTGATTTATCCAAGTATTATTTACATTATTTTGATTGGATATCAAAGTATTCTGCAGTCCAATGAAAAAAGACAGAAAAGTGAGCAGATCCGCCCCTCTCTCTCTTCACGTCTGGTTTCAAGAAGCGATGGTGAGAACGGTCAGCTCGATGCTTCATAACAGGACTTCACCGACCAGTGAGTGACATCACAGCGGCCATGTCCATCTTTTATATACAGTTTCTGGTCTTATTTTTAGACACAGGAACACACAGACATCAACATCATGAGTGTGAGGACTGAAACAGTCTGACAGCATCATAGCTACACTATCAGGTTAGTGCCCCCAGCGTGTTGGTCCACATAACTACACGTTAAACAGAAGAACATGTGATTGACTCATGTGCTGCATGGAGTTTTCACATTTCATGACATTTAAGGCATTAATCTCCTCCGAGGGGACGTCTGAGCATGTGCACACACTTCCCAGAGTAATGCTTTCACCCTTGTATTCTGTGGATACAGTTTGACAGCGTATACTGAATATCTGAGAGTCCACCCCTGTAATATGAGGAGATAAAGTGTGGGAGCTCTAACAGAAAAATGTCCTGACCTTTGACCCGTACAGGTACTGAGGCTGAGCGTTGGGTGGTTTATCCCTCTGGAACTCCTGAGAAAAGGGCAGGATGGTGCGCACAAACCTGAAGGCAGAGTTGGAAACATATCTCCATTAAAATAACATCGGGATTGAAAATACAAGACCCACACAATTACTCCCTTTTCCCCCTAAACCTTTGAGAAGCACAATCTGATATTTTATCTAATACAACTATACAAATAAAATAAATAAACAGCTGTGAATGTTTATAAGAAACTGCCTCTTAGTTTTAGCTCCAGCAACCCGGACCTCTGCTCGTTTTTGGATCAACTGAAAGATGACATCTTTTATAAAATCTGCTAGTCGGGTTGTTTACTGGTACTCATTCACCTCAGTTCAGTTTTGCTGCAGGGTTTCACATCTTTTTATATCATCCCGATTAGCAAAGTGGAAACCAGAAAAATTAAGACGCATTATGAGACAGGAACGAGTCCTCGGCAGAAGATCCGGCCGAGACGATGATGTAATGGAGGTTCACTGTTCACTGTACAGTTGGTAACCTACTTTTCCCACTACTGGCATTAATATTTATATTTCCATTTATTTGTTTAAGTCTCAGGTGAACATTTTGGTCTTTCTGTGACCTTCACCGTGATTTTATTCTGAAATATCACCTGCTGGTAGACCCGTTGTAGCAATAGTTGGGTAAGAAGTCGTAGTTGAGCTCCCAGAAGACGTGCAGTGTTATCCTGCCATAAGGGGCCGACACGTTGTGGTTGGCTTCGCGGAACATGGCGTCAAAGCTGTCCAGAGTCAAGAACTTGCTCAGGAGCTTGTGCGTCATGCGGTTGACCTCCAGAAGGCCTTCCAGCTCCTTTAAACAAGTCACACACCACCAACATGTGTTTTATATATATATATTTTTTAACTAAGTCAAATGAAAAACCCCAGGACTGATCAGCTAAATTAAATTACAACTACATACCATGATGGAGGTGAGATCCTCACTCTCAAAGCGACTGATGGCCAGCTCCATAGATTTGTAAAGAGCAGCAGAAACCCTCTGAGTGATGAGTCTGTTGAGATCGATGGAGCGGCCTAGAAGCTGAGGTTCACAGCCAGTTAGTTAGAGACAACATGAAGGTGGGAGTACAGCGAGGTGGAAAGCACGACAGCGTGCAGCTTATACCTGGACGTGGCGTTGCTTCAGCAGAGTCTCGTAGCGGTTAGAGGCCGGCCAGGGAATGTTGGCTCCTTGGTTCTTGCAGTCAGATCTCAGCCGTTTGTCAAGCAGAAGACTGAAGGAGGATTCACATGAACACGGAGAGAAGTCAAGGTTTGTAAAAAATAAATAAAAAATTAAAAAATCAAAAAAAAAAAAATCACACCTTTAGACCTGCTCCTTATTTCCTGGCATGTATCTCTGGTTCATTTTAATCATGACCAGAGTTTCTAATGATGAGGTCAGTGTATGTACACAAACCTCTGTGAGCCATAAGCTCAGACTGCTCTAAAAGCTCAGTGAGGGGCAGCCAATCAGAACAGAGATGGCTTCAATGGGGAGAAACATAACACAGGGGCTCCCCCGAGGTCCAGTGTAGGATAAAGGAGGATTATTCTGAACTGTGAATTATGCAAAGCTATTGTGATAGAACGGGAAGTGAGCTGAACAGACCCTGTTTTAAACCGTTCCCTCAGATCCCCACAATCCTGGAGGGTAGAGGTGCATTTGAAATTGTCCGTCTATGTCCTGTTTGTGTCTGTCATAATTGACATTTGCAATATTACAAATATTAAATATGCATTAAACTAAATAATTTGTACCTAAGCACATGTGCTACAGCACCTTTATCCCCTTCATCCTCCCACAGAGTTTTTTAATACCCTCTGCTACGTTCACACTATCACTCTAGCTGGACGACAAATAAGCTAGCTGTCGTTGAGGCCTTTGAAAAGGGTAAAAACATTGGAAAAGTGATCCGACTGCTTCTCAAACTAATCATGCTACTTGATTACTACTGGAATCAACACATTAGAAAACAGACGAAGCAATCAAATCCTTTTTTATGAGACTGTGTGTCTGTAGTGTCTGTACATAAGGGGGAGAGGGGTCGACGTACCTTCCAGCTAGAATCTTGTAGTACCCAAATATCTGATCAGCAAGCTTGTAGACAAACTGATCAAAGCACAGGTTAACCTGAAAAACAAAAACACAACATGTTTAAAAGTTTCAACATAGATGACCAATGAAATAGTAATTTCTTCTGGTTTAAGGAGAAAAATTATTTTCACAGGTTTTGGAAAGAACAGAGCCAAATCCATTCTACATGCACATTAACAAAGCTCTGCAAGCGGCTACATAATGAATAGAAATGCAGCTACTCAACAGCTCATGAAATGGACAGGAAACTGAGATTAATGAGGTGACTATAGGAGAGCCTGTAAGCAACAAACAGCAACAAAGCAGACAGGATATTTAGGAAAGCCGTGCAGTCAGAGGTATTATAAGGACGGTGATGCAGCCACCACATATCTGAGATCATGATCCTTTACCTCTGCCTCTATTTCATCGTAGAGGAACTGCTTCTTGAATTTGGTCAGGGCGTAGTGTGCACTGTCGTTGTACAAATCCAGAGGATATAGCACATACCTGCAGGGGATTAAAATGTTATTCTAGAATTAAACACACCCTGCAACCGTGAGAGAATTAATCTGTTCAGCAACAAAAATAAAAGCTGAGACGTGTAAAATAAGAAGCTTCATTTAGTTGCAGCAGCAGTTGGTTAAAAAAAGGAAGTGTTACATCAAACTGATCAGTTCGATCGTGTTCACTCGAGGTTAACCATCGTCGTTCAGCGCTGCTCTTTGGAAACTTGCAGAACTGATACGCGCCACACAGACAGCTGCTTAAATATGTACGACCTGCACAAAACACTTACTCTCCATAGTAAATAAGAGGAAAACGCAGGGTTTTTCTTTTCTTTTTTCCCCCCAAAATTTTGGGTGAATATTTGAAGAATTACAGCACGTATGCTTCGTGCCAGCTGATGTGCTTAATGGCTTATGTAAAACCTGCCTCGTATCAACGTAATCCTGCAGCAAAGATTTAAAGCAGACATGAAAACATTCACGGATAATCCCAATTTTTGGGATTTCATCCAGGGTCCTATTTGAAAATGGAAGATGAAAAGAAACGAGCGCTGAAGTTGTCAGAACGCATCTGTCCAATCGCAACCGCCAATCGCAACCGCCAATCGCAAAGAGCCAAGTTTCAAATTATACCATGGAGAACATCTATTTCCACTGCTGTGAGAAAAACACCAAACAATCAGCCCATCTTTCACATAGGATGAAGAACATAATAATAAGAATGGGAGGGAAACTGTCCAGTAGTTATCAGAGTTGGTGGTAAGCAGTGGAAATAAATGTTCTTGGTTACAAAAGAAGCATATTTACTCCATCATTGAAGCCTCCTTAGTCTCCAGGATGTGATCGGTGAGGATCCAGGGCATGGACATCTCGATGGGGAACTGGATCCTGCGACCCATGGTGAGCTCCAGAAAGAACTCTCTGAACCACAGCTGGGAGAGGTCACAGCACTGCTGCAAGGTCTCTGAAGGGAAGAGAGGGGAGATGGAAGAAGGTTACATCAGAGTCCCCTTCCAAAAGCCGTCAGGGGCCTCAGGCTGGTGATGATATTTATTGTTTGCTGAACAAAATGATTTGAGTTTTAGACTATGATTTTCTGAGTGTGTGAGTGTTGAGATGTGTGTGAGTTGGTTGGACTTTTTAAACAGAGCTTCAAAGTCCTGTACTTGAAGTTATGAGTGCTCAAATCCTCTAATCCCAGAAATGTTCATTAAATATCGTTAAATATCCAAAAGTCGTGATAGGAAAATAAAATAAGAATCATCTTATTCTAAGGGAGGCAGAGATGAAACGTTCTCAGGTGTGACTGATTGCATCTGCCTCTTACCGCTAAAGTTCAGCAGGTGAGTGTAAAAGAAGGACTCGCGGTGAAATCTCTCGATGTCCAGGATGGTGGGGCCCTCCAGGCCGCTGCGCAGAGTCTTCTTTGAGCCACTTTTCTCAGCAATGAGCGACTCCAGCATGGTCCTCACCATGTAGAGCTGCATCAACAAAGAGAATTGAGTAAAGGAAGACCTCATTAGTGCCGGCGCCCTGCTGACTGTACTCACAACCCTGCAAACACTAATCTCATTACAGGTGGGCAGCTGGTATGA